CAGTATATCTGAGGATGTTATACAGGGAGAGTGACCTTGCCAGTGGTCTGAAAATGGACTTGGGGATTCAGCGTCTTTGCAGAATGGCATTAGCAGCAGCTGTTGAATTTCAGGAATTGGAATGTTGAGAGAATGAGGTAAGAGCTGTTGCCTGAAATGAGAAGAAAAAGCCAATTTTGTAAGAAGAAAGCAGCTTCATCCCTTTTCAAATAGTAATTTTTATCTTAATAAAAGAAACTTACCAAGAGGCCTCTAAAAGCTGCATTGTGGCTATGTTAAGTTATGGAAAGATGAAGGAGGTAAAGAACCTTACTAAGGGGTATGTTTATACTTTCATGGCTGGTGACTTTTGCGGTTTTCTTTTGAGATTGAGAGCTCCAACCAAAGCCATTGTTTTAAACTTGGTGTTTACACGTCCAATAGGATTGTTTGCCTCAAGATGTTCCTCCATGAAAAAGAAGTTCACTGATGTAAAATTGTAAAAAAATTAATATCAGCACCCCCTCTTTTCCTTCTGTTATGCCAGTGAAATACATTATCTGTTTTGGTAAATGGCAAGGTGTGTGGTATTTGTGAGTCATATCTGTGACTGATGACTACTTGGTTGTTAATATTCATATGCCAAATAGCTGAAACTTATGGAAACATTTGTGTAAGACTGCATTTGACTGAATAAGGTCTTCCAAGCAAGATGCTTAGCAGTTGGGAGCTACTCTGTTCTTCTAATTCTTTTTCCCTAAAGAGATTTCTGGAGCACCTGCCCCACGTTTTAGTTTCTGGGGTTCCAAAAATGTCCTTTGCTGCTTTTTCTGTGTCTTCAGCTATGGCATGTATACCTCCAAACGACCTGCAGAAGTCTTCTGGGTTTTGTTTTGTTTTATGCAGCTTTTAGGTGATTTGAAAGACTATCTCTTCCACTCTGTTCTTCGTGGAAATGTTGCAGCCTCTATTGCGTCTTTTGGCATCTTAGAGCGCATTATGTGAATGCAGAAATAAGACTTACAAGAAGGGCCTGTTAGAGTTGCATCTACTATCCAAGGCTGAAGTGAATTGAGTCCATCTGAAAAGAAACTGTCAACATACTGTCCTGGGCTCATATGCAACACACTTTTTTTCTTTTTTGGGTTTTTTTTTTTTTTGTCTCATCAAAATCACATCAGTGATCATGCCTCTCCATTTTTCTCTTTGGCACGAACACTACATCCTCCTGAAACTTCCTTGCCAGAGCACTTCCATAAACTAGCAGAATCACAGAAATGTCAAAGAATTGAACAACAGTTGCGGATGGAAGGGACCTCTGGAGGTCTCGAGACAAAAAATCTGTGCTCAAAGCAGGGTCAGCTAGAGAAAGTTGCTCAGGGTGTTTTCTGTGTGTTTTGTATATTTCTAAGGGTGGAGACTCCTGTGCCAAGTTTTTTAGTTAGGTGTAAGTGGAATTTCCTGTGCCCATAACTGCTTATCCTGTCACTGGGTGGCACTGAGAAGAGTCTCACTCTTTTATCTCTACTGCCTGTCTACCCTACCCCCGCTACAAATACACTTATAAGATCTCTTCAAACCTTCTCTTAAAGCTAAACAATCCCAGCTCTCTCCAGCCTTTCTTTGTATGTCAGATGTTTCAGTCCCTTAATCATTTGCACATTTAGATCTTTATTGTCCTTGTGCAGATATTAGTGCTCCCTTTCCAAAAAGTGGGAGGTGGAGTCTGGGAAGCCTTTTAATTATAGCAACCCTTTTCCTCATCTCACAGTATGAGCTGCAATATCTCCCACAAATAATGCAGTCAATATTGCTATGCCTAACCCAGCAAAGGACAATTTGCACCACATGCAGCCAAGAAAGAAAACAGACCTCTGTGAGCCACAGCTGTGAGTGTTTGGTTTTCATCTGTTGTGCCTGCTCGTTAATAGATAGCCTTGGATGAAACACACAAACCGGAGAGTGTCTGTCAGTTCTGCAAATCACAGTTACGGGTGTAGGTAGGCTTTATTTCTTGGATTTCAGAAATGTAAGATGTAGCTACACTTGGTACTCTGCTGGAAATTTAGGAAGTTAATATTAATGCCTTAATACTGAGTTAACAAAACTTTGTGGCTCTTAACGTGGCTCTTCTTCAATGAATTAGCATGAATTGAAATTAAACCAGAAGAGCTATTAACATTGTCTTCAAAGTTACACATGCTTGATACCAGAAGGAAAAAAAAATACCCATGAGTCTATAGATAGTCTAGTATTTATAGATTAAATGTTTGATAGCACTTTATGTGCATGTAACTATATGTAACTTAGAAACTGTAATATATTAAGCAAACATGATTATGTAACAATTTTTATAGTTCATGTTTCATGCAAAGAAAATAATTCTTTTGTTCAAAGTAACTTGTACTGTGCAATAATAAACCCATTGTGACTGGAACAATGTGTAGGCTTAGTCACTGAGAGGGAGTCAGTCTTTGGCAGTTGATACAGTACACTATTTGGTATTTTAAGGGTAGTGCTAACTGAACAGGAGTTGATACTGTCTTTAAAATTGACTGTTCTTCAGTAAAGAAGTTGATAGTTATGTTTCCTAGAACCTGGGAGCAGGTTATTCCCAGTTCGCACAGTTGTGATGATTTCCCTTATTACTAATATAAATAGTCCTTATAACAAGGGAAAACTAATTATAGTAAAATAGCTTATGTGATTATTTTTTTTCTAATAAAAAGTGATTAAATTCTACTTAAGAAAAAATTTGGATCTACTTGTTTTGTTGCCTGTTGTGGTTCAGTTAAAAATAGTTTTCAAGTCTGTAATCCTTTTTCTCAGTTGAAGGTCTAGTTTACTAAGCAAACTTTCACTTTTTCAGAAACCAAACAGTTCAAATGAATACGTGTAAAATGTATTAAGAGTCTTCAGTGTAACTATAAGCAACGATTAAAAGGAAGGATGGAAAAGGGAGAAGCAGAAGTTTCAACTGAATCAGGCTAAACCATGTAAGCTGATAGCTTTTAGACTGTCAAAGGTGATACTACTTCAATTGAGTCTGTTCTTAAAAGTATTAGCACAAAAAAAATCAAGTTAATTTTTCAGGTGAAGTTTAGCTATTAAGAAATGGTTCCACTGAAAGGAAACTTTACATCTAAAAAACCTCTAACATTATGAGTGGAAAATCCAGAGTATGGCACATTATCTTCTCTCAGTGATACGGTGTCCTCCTGGATTTACAGAGAACTTGAAATGACTGGTTATATGATGTTTTATTAATTTTTGAGGTGTCTGAGGGAATTACCACCATCTGTTAATACCAGAGTCTAAGCCTGCATGTGGGCTTCAAAATGCTTTAAGTCTTGAATTTTTTGAGTAAGAAATCCTCTTAAAACTTAACTTAAAGCAGTTAGGAGGTTTCAGAGTGTAAATAGAAAATACCTTCTTTTTATTTTTTTTTTTTTTAGTGCAGATTTAAGCTCTTGGATTGTTTGTCACAGTTTTGGTTTGTGGTTCTAGCCTGTCCTCTGAAGTTAGAATGGATTCAATTGCTTGTAATTGAGCTCTTCTCCTGCACTAGTTATGACATAACTGGCTTTTCAACTTACTTTGTCAGCTGAGCTCTGACTTCACCCTGAAAGGAGAGCAGCATGTATAATGTATTTTCTTCTGACTGAGATCAATGCTAAATGTGCCTTGTACCAAAACCTGATATTATCCAGATGTGCAGAAAAAGCTGTAAGAAGCTTTAAGTCTTGATATAATCTAAATCCTTTCTGGAGGTCAGAGGAATCTTAGGAGCACATTGTTTAAATTATTATTTCAAAATTCCTATCTCATATGCTCTTTGTGGAGTTACAGTAGATTTTAGGGCTTCCTCAGTGAGGAAGCTGGTTAAGCAACCTGAACTAAACTGGTGCTAGCCTGCTAACGCAGGGATTCAGCTTTTTGAACTGTGTCCATGGTCATGTTATGTCTTTCTATATTACGATCTCGTAAATTGTTGTGTTTCCCTCAGCCCCTTAGAGGTATTAGGGCTTTTGGGGTGCGTGTGACATTTTTGAGGGTGAGGGTTGGTTTTTTTTTGCTTAAGCAGTACATCTGAGCTGGCTATGTATGTTTTCGCTGCGTTAGTTTTTGAAAAATCTGAGGTTTAAAAATTTCCTTATGTATGCATTTTGTAGAGTATGAGCTGTCGAGGAGACCACGTACTTCATAGTACAAGCAGTATGTGGTACAAGCTGAATTTTGATTTAAAATTCCTTTAAGAAATCCAGAAGATCTCCTGGGAGATAGGAAGGAATTGTTTGTGGTCTAAAACCAAATCCTGACTTAAGAACGACTCCTTGGCACTCCTATTTATTTAGAAAATTGAAATCCAACCAAATAGTCTATACTTGCTGTGGCAAAATGAGATCTTTAAAACACTATAATGAAGGGCTACTGAGGCATTATTAAAAATTAATACAGCCAAGAGAGTTATTGAGAAAAGTAGCATTTAACAGTAATTGTTAATACATTTTGGTACTGCTATATGGTAAGTAGCTTCCAGCTTCTTAATCTGGGTTCAGTTTCCTTCATAATACTTCTAGTTTTTGCAACATTTTTGTTCTTCTCATATATTTTTAAGTTAAGAGTAACCATTCTAGGTCAATAGGTTTGTACTGTGACTGAAAACAAAGACTTGCCTGAAGTCTTTTATTGTTATAAGCATCAAAATAAGCTGTAGAAGAAAAATACTTTAAGTAATCAGACTGATCTTTGGGGAGTAAAATGTCATAGAAAAAATCTATATTACGATGCTTTGTGGGGAGAATTTCAGGGATAATGCTTGGGTTTTGAAGGTGTTGGGGTTTGGGGGATTGGAGCGATACAGTCCTGGTGTCAGAGTGTATTGGGTTTGTGTGGCAGGGTTTTGATAGTGGGGCGGCTGCAGTGGTGGCTTCTGTGAGAAGCTGCTAGAAGCTTCCCCTATATCTGATGGAGCCAATGCCAGCCAGCTCCAAGATGGACCAAGGCTGAGCCCATCAACGATGGCGGTAAAGCCTCTGAGATAACACATTTAAGAAGAGGGAAGAGTTGCTGCACAACAGCAAATGCAGAGAGATGAGAGCAAATGGAGAGAAGAGTGAGAGTATGTGAGAGGAAGAACACTGCAGACACCAAGGTCAGTGAAGACGGCGGGGGAAGAGGTGCTCCAGGGACCAGAGCAGAGATTCCCCTGCAGCCCGTGGTGAAGACCATGGTTAGGCAGGCTGTCCCCCTGCAGCCCATGGAGATCCATGGTGGAGCAGATATCCACCTACAGCCAGTGGAGGACCCCACCCTGGAGCAGGTGGATGCACCTGAAGGAGGCTGTGACCCCATGGGAAGCCTGTGCTGGAGCAGGCTCCCGGCAGGACCTGTGGACCCATGGAGAGTAAGGAGCCCATGGTGATGCAGGTTTCCTGGCAGGACTTATGACGCTGTGGGGGACCCACACTGGAACAGCCTTTTCCTGAAGGACTGCACCATGTGGAAGGGACCAACTCTGGAGAAGTTCATGGAGAACTTTCTCCAGTGGGAGGTATCCCACACTGGAGCAGGGGAGAGAGTGTGAGGAGTCCTCCCCCTCAGGAGGAAGGAACAGCAGAAACAACGTGTGATGAACTGACCACAAACCCCATTCCCTGCGTTGCTTGGGGCAGGAGGCGGTAGAGAATTTGGGAGTGAAGTTGAGCCCAGGAAGAAGGGAGGCATGGGGGGAAGGTGTTTTAAGATTTGGTTTTATTTTCTCATTACCCTACTCTGACTTGATTGGTAATAAATTAAATTAATTTCCCTGAGTTGAGTCTGTCTTGCCCATGATGGTAATTGGTGAGTGATCTTTCCCTGTCCTTATCTTGACCCACGAGCCTTTTTTCGTATTTTTTCCCCCTGTCCAGCTGAGCAGGGGCAGTGATAGGGCAGCTTTGGTGGACATGTGGTGTCCAACGAGGGTCAACCCACCATGGACAGATAGTTTTTGGACCATGGACCATCTAAAGATGATGGAAACATTTTTGAAATAAAATTCATAAGCAGATACAGAAAACCTGTGGGTTAAATATTTTCATTTATAGTTGTAAACACAATTACAGTTTTATGCAGAGATTGATTGATGTGCACTACTGTTCATTTCTCTGTATTTCAACAAACAGCTGTTTTTCAGCTGTTGAAATCTGTGGAATTTCTTCATTGTGTTGACGTTTGCAGTGGTGAAGTATAGCTAAAAAACGTGATTGATACTTTTGAGAATGAACAATGTTTAGTTATGCATACTGGCTGTCCTGGATGTACTGCTGTTTCTGATACACCCATAGATTCTGACTAGTTAAAAGAACTGACAGTGGCGTATAACTCTTCAGCAACTCCACTGCTGCCTCTGGTAAGTCTCGTTTGACAGAGAGGAATCAGTTTGTTGTCTCATGTAGATTGCTGATGTCTCTCTTCATATGTGTGAAGCTATTTAGAGACTTCATGGAGGACAGTGTTACCAGTAAACAGCTTGTATTAAACTTCTTGTGTCACTAGTCCCACATTCTACTTCAATGCAATGTGGATGAAAGTGCTTACATTTCATGCTTTATACTTTTTCCTTATACATCTAGGGATTATTTTCTACTAACTAGCACCCCTTGTATGGCACATCCACTGGAAACATATGCCCAGATTTCACACAGAAGGCTCAGAACTTGGATCTTGTAGGATCTGTATCTCATAGCTACATGGTGCTTTTTAAGTCCTTGGATGAACAGAAAGAAGACGGTAATTGTTCTTGTGGAGTGGAGAGTTCATAGTGGTTGAGATGTTTTACCCTGGCTTGGAATATTATAATTAAGTATGTATTAAAGAGGAAATTAAATGTTTTCTTTTTGAAGTGTATCAGACAGCTACTGCTATTTTAAACTCTTGTTTAGGAGAAAACTGTAATTTGTTATGGTGGTTGAATGGTAAGTTACAATTTAAATGTAACAAACAAATGAATAGGAACTTCATAAGTTTATGTTGGTTCTGGATATGTTCAAAATGCACTGAACTGGGTTTTATTTAAGCGTCATACTGCTGTGGCACAGTTACTGTGGGATTTCATTTTTAACTAGAAGGCTGGAAGGTTGTTCTAATTTTTGGAGAAGAAAGGATCAAGGCCATGCTTGAACTCCTTCCTTCTTATCATTATCACATAGTATTTTATGTTTTGGTTGACTGCCAGAGACCAGTATATGTGTATGTGTTCTACCTGGAAATGTTTGATTGCCTTTAGTAGTTACATCATGGATACTCACATAAGATTTTTCTTTGTGTGAGTGTGATTAAAATTGTTTATTTTGCATGCTTTTTAAATTGCAGAACCATTCCTTTTTTCCTTGCACGGGGCCAGTTAAGACTTTCACAGATGTCTGGCACATTTAATTGCAAACTACCATTGAACTGCACACACATTGTTTGGTTGGATCATCTTTTCTTGTTTAAAAATTCATGGCAGTCCATTTTCTTTCGTTTTTTGCCTAGTGAACGTCAGTAAATTAGAAATGTAAATATAAGCATTTGGAGGCACTTCTGCAGTATGAGAAAAGATGTTAATGTAGATGTTGTTATCCAGCTTTGAATCACAGAATTCTGAAGCCTTAAAGATGAACTATGAAGGTTGGTTAAAATTGACAAAAAAAAAAAAAAGAAAAAGCCCCAGATCAGTTACAGAATGTTAAATCATGACTCAGAATCGTTTAGAATGGAAGGCCTCTTATTAGTGGTAGTCAAAACTGAGAAAGCACGTATTCAGTATAGGCTTTGTGGGAAGAGTATGATGGAACACATGCAGATCTAAAAATCGGATAGCTTCCAAATACTGTGATGATGTTGTTGTTCACATACATAAAAAGATTTGGTTTTACTTTCCTTTCAAAAATGTTAAAGGTTGCATGTTTAAAAAAATGTGGCATCATTGGACCTGTATGATCCTCTTGTCTTCAACAGAGTGGCCTCGTGGCTCTTGGTTGGTTGCATTGGTGACACACTACTTACAGGTGAATAAAATTTGCTCTTTTGAGATGAAGGGACTCTACAGAGTTGTTTACAGTAAAAAAAGTAATTAAAAAAGCTACATCTGCTTTAAGTTAGCAGATAAAACTGGATTAAAAAAGGGACATACTGTTTAGTGAGGCACTGTTAGTTGTTTTAGACATTTATTGGCCAATGATTTGTCATTGTTCAATTGGTTGGACGATACTTTCTTCAGAATGGAAATTTGAATTAATGTACTTAAAGATTAATTTTTTTAATACTTTACCATCTTCACTATTTAAATACAGTTGCGCTTTTAAAGTCTCCTTTTGATCTGTGGTAGTAAAGTTCACTGTAATCCTTGTCATAAGTGATGTCAAATGGTGGGTTATGGCTCTACTTTCAAATTAAGTAAAAATTGAATTGTCATGGAGAACAAGTATTGAAGATGCATTTCAATGACTGTATTTGTGGAGTACTGCGTAGATGATGTTAGCAAAGGCAACAGAAACCAAGTAGCTGATGCAAGCTTTCAGTCTGGGTTGGTTTATTTCTCTTTTATATGCCCATTCTATTACATTTACATATGTTCTCCCTCCAACTTCCATAGCTTCACTATTACAGCTTATCTGTAGCTAAAATTATTGTAATTTTTTTCAAAATTCTTACTTAAAATCATTCTTCAAAGTGAGTATCATTACTTATTGAATGAAAGTAGGGCTTCCACAGTCTCTTATCCCAAGTAAACAGATTACATTTTCCTGTACTCAGAATGTCATGAACACCAGAGCTGTGCCTATTCTTATGGGATTTAGGGCTAATTGTTTTTTGTTGTGGTTTTTTATTGATTTAAAATGAAAAATATGCATATATTTCTAGCTCTGCATTCCTTAAAATAAAAACATCCTTTCAAATAGTGTTCATGATATTTGAAGTGTGAAGTATTTTCTTCTGGCTGGAGTATTTTAGCAAAATATGTCTTGCCATAAAAACCCTTGATGTGCTTACATTAACTTTACTAAACTACTTTTCATAAAGAACAATGAAAAATCAGTTTCAGAATTGTGTGGTGATTTTATTTTTGTTGGGTCTTTTGTTGTTGTTTTTGTTTTGGATTTTCTTTTGCAGTTCTTTAAAATACACATTCTTGTGGAAGAAATAATGACAAACTAAAAAAACCCAAACAAACATATAATGAAACAATCTCACTTGACTGGAAGTAATTCTTTTTTAAAATTCTTAGAATACCAATCTTTTAAAATAACTTTCTTTGAACTAAAAATTAAAACTTCTTATTTGCACGGTGGGATACCAAGGGGGTATCAGGAAGTCTCAGCTCTGGGTATGGCCTGTGCAAGTTTTCTTTGTGATTTACTTGTGATAGACAGATCTGTGAAGGGCTAGAATTAGTTTGCTAATATAATTTTCACTTGCGAGGGAATGCTGGATTTTAAGCAGCGCCAATAAAAGTAAAAAGTTAATTCATTTGTGCCCTGTCCTGGTGGATTATATTTCTACCTTTCTTCATAGATTATTCTTTTTATGACTTCTGAACATCAAAAATGTACTACACTGGATGCCTGTATATTGTTGAAGGAAAAAAACAGGAGTTTTAAACTATTATACGATTCCATATGAGAAACTATACAAAGAAGTTCTAATGAAAAAAATCTTTGTGGTCGTGAAGTTTAATTGCTACAGTACGTTTTGCTTAAAGGGATGTTTTCAATGAACATTTTTAACTGTACGTAAATAGCATCTAATAGAACAAGGGGAAAATGTTTTACTTGCAGATTTATACAAATCAAGTAAATGTGCATCTTAATACAGCAGCATAGATTACAATACAACCTTTTTATTTTTAAAGGAAAAATAAATGTTTGTGAATCTTTCCGGAAGTTTTAGTTGCCTTTTCTATCTAAGGATTTTCTTTACTTTATTCCCTGTTCATGAAATCTGGTATGCTAGATAGGCCATCATCTCCTGTTAAGTAAAGTAATTGGTGGAGGAAATAATT